ATCTTATTAATTTTTAGTTTAAAATTTTATAAATTTTTTTTATAAATTATTATAATTATAAAAAAATTATATTTATTATATTCTTAATTTATATTCTTTTAACTTTGTGTTAAACAAACCCTTAAAAATATAGACATCCTCAGGCAAGAAAAACAATAATAAATACCCCCGTCAACATGGCAGAGCTGATATGTTTCACATTTTTTAAGAAAAATAAAAGGTTACAATCTTTCACCACTCCCAGAAATCCAAACCCTCCCAAACTGCCCACTGATCAGCCTGCTCTTAACCTTTCCAGTATTTGCTCAAACACACTCCAGGAGAAGGAATAGAGAGTTAGAAGCAGTCTCTCTCACTCTTTCCAATCAATCCCATCATCCCACTTTCCTCATATATCGACATCCAAAACTTCCACCATTCTAGTTTCCTCTCATCCCATTTCCTCCTCAAAAATAGAAATTCTCTAATAAAATACCCCATAATCAGAGGGGATCATAGCCATAGCACTTCCTATTTTTTTTCTTTTTTCTTTTTTTTTTTTTATTGGGTTTGATTGTTTCCATCAACAGTGACATCTGCCAGAAAATAGCAGACTCATAATCTCTGATGCAACTCTCAGATTCATCACTTTCCTTCTCTTCTCCTTTGTTAGGTCTATTTACACTGTCCTATTGTTCCTAACTCTGTATTATCACTCAAGAAAGAAGAAAACCCTAGATGAGTAGTACTTAAGTAATACCCTCTCTCTCCATCTCACCTGTCATTCGTTTGCTTGAGCGTCGGAGTATCTTTCCAGAGTTTCAGGTCTAGGTCTACCTCTGTGTGTTAAGATCCCAGCTGTTTTTACCAGGTCCAGCTCGTGTTGCCTGCACATGATCCTTGTGCTTCAAGAAGCATATCATCAAAGACAATTTTCTAGCTAGTTTCTCAAGATCTTTCCATGGATTCAATTCCAGAAATGGATAGCTCTATCTCAATCAACTCTACCAACATCAGCAACAACTCTGTTGTTGCATCTTCTTCTTCAACCTCAAGCAGGTACGAAAACCAGAAGCGCCGTGACTGGAACACTTTTGGTCAGTACCTGAAGAACCACCGGCCCCCTCTCTCCCTCTCCCGGTGCAGTGGTGCGCACGTCCTGGAATTCCTCCGCTACCTCGACCAATTCGGGAAGACTAAAGTCCACACCCCAATCTGCCCCTTCTACGGCCACCCTAACCCTCCAGCCCCCTGTCCTTGCCCTCTCCGCCAAGCCTGGGGTAGCCTGGACGCCCTCATCGGCCGCCTCCGCGCTGCCTTTGAAGAAAACGGAGGAAAACCGGAAGCAAACCCTTTTGGTGCACGTGCTGTCAGGCTTTACCTCCGCGAGGTTCGTGATTTGCAGTCCAAAGCAAGAGGAATCAGCTACGAAAAGAAGAAACGTAAGCGTCCTCCTCCACAACAACCACAACAACAACAACAACAACAACAACAACAAATCTCATCTCTCCCGCCGCCACCAGGAGCAGGTGCAAATTAAGGTAATTGGAGTAATGATCTATTTTACCCTATATTGGTGTTGGGTTACTTTTCTGTTTGCTTCTAGGGAAAATAATGGGTTTAGAGATTTGGGGAAGAAACTGGAATCTGCTTTTGATGCAAACAGTGTTAGTATAACTAGTAGTGGAATTAAAGTAGAAGCAGTAATGGTACTAGTTGGCAGGTGTGGGAACTGAGATATCATGTTTTTTATGTACTTTGAAATATATTAATTTGCAGAAAATGTTATCGTGTGTATCTTAATTACTATTCTCTGGATATCTTTTTTTTTTTTTCTCTCTACTTTGTGATTATTTTTCCTTATTTTTCTGAATGGGTGTTAGAAATTCAGCTTCTTTTTTTGTTAAAAAAGATTGGAAAGAACATAACATAAGGATGATATGTATGTCAGTTTGCAGATTCTTGTCATGAATTAATTATCAGCATTCCTCAAGTCTTTTTTTTTGCCCCCTGATGTTCTGCTTCTTTTACTGCTTTCTTGTCTGGATATTGAATCAATCAATTCCTTTACATGCATTTTTTTGGTCAATTATAGTAATAATTTAAATGCCGATTTATTAGTGTTGTCATTTCAAATGGAGGTAATACTCAGAGTGGCAGACAATGCATAACAGTACTTTGTAATGTATTTTTGAGTTTCATAAATTCACATATTTACTAACTATTTATTTTCTGCACTTCCCGTTTTTGTAATAAGAAGGAGAAATTAAGTTATTTATTATTTGATCAAAAGAAAAATGCTATTTATTATTAAGCTAACATAAAAAATGTAAATTTAAGCTTAATGATTCATGTCTTAAGATTCACGAATCTGGTTGCTTCTAAGTTTTGAGTGCCCTTTCAACCCAGATTTCCATATAATTAAAAAACAGTAGGATAGAATTGGATTGATGTTGAGGAGAAAAACATGGTTTAATTTTAACCTAATATGAATGCAGATACATATGTATAGCTAGGTTTCAATGATGGGGAGATCATAGAAAACTATCTATGTAGATTTTGAGGGGGAATTCTCTTAAATTAGTTGGGCCGACAAAGGTTTCCTTTTCTCTCCATCACCTTTAGCCTCTCTACTTATCATCTATACCTTTATATGTATATAATATTAGAAAATCTTTGCATATAGTTGCTAATTGGTCTAAAGTGATGCTCCTAAACATTGCATTTAGCTGCTAGAGAACCTTTTTTCTTTACCTTTATCTAATTGTCCTAATTATTCAGGTTCACCATTTGGGATCAGTCCTTGTATTTTTATAATTCTATGAAAGGTCTCTCTATGTTTAGTTATGTGGGGAATATTTTCAAAGCATTAACTTTTCAGATGTCATCAATGATTATATGTGCAGACTATATAGGGTTTGCTAATGAATTTTTTATATACAAAATGATCCATTGGCAAACATGCGTGGAGTTTTTTTAGGTTAAAAAAAAAAAAATTTGAACATCATTTTGTAAGAAATGCCTAGTCCATGTCAGCTTGCCTTAACTTTTGTTGCTTTTGCAATATTACTTTCTGCAAAACAAGCAAGTTTGGACTGGTGTGTCTTAACTTTGAAGTATTTCTTGTCTTGTCCAAATTGATTTGAGATTTTGAATTGCAAATTTAAGGATATGTTTGATGATAACTTGTCTAAATTGAGAACTTGCTTGATGTTTAGCATGAGTTTTTGCAATGTGTTATTTTATCTTATCTTAATTAGCACTCTGTTTAAGTTTATGTTGAATAAATTATGAGGGTCTCTAACTGTTGTGCTTTGTTATTGCACTTATTTCCTTGAAGAATCCCGAAGTCAAGTTTATTCGGTGAATGCTGCTGCAAATTATCTACTAATTTCTCTCTCCAGTTTAGTGCGTACTCTCATAAGAAACTGAGAAAGCCTGTTTCACCTAACTATAGCTTTTGTTGAAATTATGTTTTAATATATGTTTTCTTAAAAGTACTGAATCTTGAATTTATATAAAATAATCATCCAAATTTTAGAAATTGATAGAAGGTATCAAACCAAAAAAATTAATAGCAAAAATACTTTTTATTTTGTCCCAGCAAAAAATCTATTTAAGATGCAACGGTTTTGGAGCCATGGTTAGTTTATAAAGAGTAGAAACAGTTTGAAAATAAAGATAGGTTTAAGAAAATTTACAAGCCCTTTTAAAAAAAAAAGCTGTATTTAACGAAATTTAAACTTTTACATTAAAAGAGTCTTTGTGAAGTCGCACCAGACAAACATTAAAAACTTAAGGAGTACATTTTTCTTTCATCATTATTTACACAATGAAATATTAAGGTATCAATCTACTAATTAGATGAAAAAAGGTTTTTCAATCTATTTCTAACCAAACTAAATATGCTCTAAATTCTCTTTAAAGGCGTCTTTTTTTGAAAATAGGTAATGGACTTTAAAGGCGCTTTTGGTCTACCGTACCTGGAGGAAAAGAATTTAGGGGAAGCCAGCTCGTTTAAGTCAAACTTGTGGGTCCTTATATTGTAAATCGTGCTTAGCATTTGGTTATGATACAAAGCCTGCTTTAAGCGGTTAAAAAGTCATATATATGTTCTCATGCATGTTAAAAAAAAAAAAAAAAAGTAATATATATGGCATGAAGTGCTGTTCAAAAATCCCAAAATTCTTCCGGAATTGGTATCTTATTAACTTCGAAAAAGGCAAAATACCCAAATCCACCCCCAAAGTATAATGGCAGGGATGGATCCACCATCGAACAAAAAACGGGGACAAATCCACCCACAAAGTTTTTGATTTAGACAAATCACTCCAAATTTAACGTGTGACGTCATTTGACATCAGCAATTCGTTAATTCGTTAACGGATTGCTGACATCAAATGACGTCAAATTAACAGATTGCTGATGTTAAATGACGTCACATGTTAAATTTGGAGTGATTTGTCCAAAACAAAAACTTTGTGGGTGGATTTGTCCTCGTTTTTTGTTCGAGGGTGGATCCATCCCTGCCACTATACTTTGGGAGTAGATTTGGGTATTTTGCCCTTCGAAAAACAAGTGGCTGTATTGTTTTTTCTTTTATGTAAATATTAAAAATTAAATCTTAAATTTATAATTAAGAATATAAATAATTTTATTAATAGGCTACGCAGCTGATGCTTTGATTGTATTAGTTTTTAATGCTATTATAACCACTTTAGAACCGGTTGCATTTTTGCAATGAAATTTGTCTCAAGAATTTATTAGGTTGTTCATATTAGTATTTTGAAAATAATTAATAATTGATAGTTGATATTTGATAATAGATAATAATTAACATTTATGATTTAAAATATTTAATTTTTTTTATTAAAACCAATAATTAATATCTATTTTTAAAAAATTAAGACAAACCACTAGTTCATCAGTTCGATGCAAACTAATCAGACTCTAAATGCATTTGATAAAAATGAGAGTGCGTCTTGTGTGTAAATCGCTGGGTACGAAGGCAGTGTTTGAAAATATTTTTTGGAAAACTTTTCTTTTCGGGATCTTGTAAAAGTATTTTTCTACTTAAACACTTTGAACGTATAATAAATAAAAGGTAAAATAGTATTTATAGTTCTTTTTCTTGACAATATTCAATTTACAAACTTTTTTGTTCATATTATTGTTTTAAATTTTTTTTATAACTTTCTTTATAAAAGATTTATTTAATAATTTTTTTACTAATTTTTTGTATTCTTATTATATTAATTTTTTATTAAACACAATAAAATTAACTCTTCAACAAAATTTTAATAAAACTTTATATGTACAACAACAGTTTTCGCCACTATCATTTTTATTAAGGCTACAAAAATAATAATCACTAATGTATTGTTTGATTAATTAAGAAATAATTTAAAGATAATTTTTTTATAATTTTATGTGCTATTTAAGTTATTAGCATTTTTATTTATTTGAGACTCATCATATTGATTTCATTTTCTTATTTAATGATATGTGGAAGTTTTTTAAAAATATTATATAAAAAAATTATCTTTATATCATCCTTTGATTGATTTTGAGAATATTAGTCAATAGCCTAATTTAAATCTATTAACTAATAGAGTTTCATGTATTTCATCGGACTTGCATATTAAAAATACAATTTTGGCATTGAAAAAATGAATTTTAGTAAGGGAAATTTTAATAATTTTAATGTTGTGACTGCATTTTTAATATGTAATCTAAATTAAAATATATTTTTTTAAAATAATAAATTATAAATATTTTAACTAAAAACTATACTCATTAATTATTTTTGGTAGCTAGATAAAAAATTATATAATTATAATCGTACATAGTATTATAAATTTATAAAATAATATCATTACATAATTAAT